ATTGGAAGTGAGCTTTCCGGGCTTCCATAGGGAGCAGGGAGAGCAATTTGCATATAAGGAGCCGGGCTCACTCAGAAGAGCCCGACAAGCGGACTGGCGAATGGCGGCCAAGATTGTCATGCCCGAGAAGGTCAAGTGGGCAATTAACACCTTTAAGCCCTACAAGTCAGCGGGACCGGATGGTATCTTTCCGGCTCTTCTACAAGAGGGACTGGAACAGATCGTGGGCCCACTGACCCGAACCTTAAGGGCTTGTATCGCGATGGGCTACACACCCAGCGCATGGAAACTGGCCAGGGTAGTTTTCATTCCGAAGGCGGGAAGAACGAGCTACACCAAGGCAAAGGATTTCAGGCCAATTAGCCTAACATCGTTTCTCCTTAAGACATTAGAGAAGCTGGTGGACGCGTATCTGAGGGAGACAACTCTGTGGAGTCACCCTCTCCACAAGAATCAGCACGCGTATCGTTCGGGCTATTCCACCGAGACTGCTCTACATCAGACGGTAGCGTTTATTGAGGAGCAGCTGGAAAGGAAGGGCTACGCAGTGGGTGCTTTCTTGGACATAGAGGGCGCCTTTAACAACACACCGCACAAGGTAGTGTGTGAAGAAGCCGCCAGAAGAGGTGTCCCGATGAAGCTCGTCGAGTGGATCCGGGGCATGCTAGGGAGGCGTGTGATGACTTCGCTGGGAACTGCGAAAGTCTGTGGGTGGGTGGGAAGAGGCTGCCCGCAGGGCGAAGTACTTTCCCCACTTTTATGGTGCCTGGTAGCAGACGGATTATTAAAGGCACTGGACGATAGAGGCTTCACTGCACAAGGCTACGCGGACGACGTGGCGATACTTGTGTGAGGCCCTTTTCTAGAGACGCTTCTAGAGCTCATGCAGGGGGCACTGGAAGTTGTAGAAGAGTGGTGTCAGAGGACGGGTTTAGCGGTGAATCCACTGAAAACCGGTCTTGCTGTCTTCACTCGCAAATACAAGGTGGGCACCATTGTGGGACCCACTCTTGGAGGAGTAAGGTTAGTTCCGACCGAATCAGTGAAATATTTGGGAGTTATTCTGGATAGGAAACTGCTTTGGGAGGAGCACCTTCGTAACCGGTGCAAAAGCTTGTGCCAGTATTTTTGGACGTGCAGAAGGACCTTTGGCCAGACTTGGGGTTTGAAACCGAGTGTGATACATTGGATCTACACAGCCATACTTCGCCCCAGACTCACATACGCAGCCGTGGTATGGTGGACTAGGGTGCAAAAGAAAACAGCCAAAGTTGCGCTGGAGCATGTCAGGGCTCTGATTTTGAGAGGGGCCCTGGGTGCTATGGTTACGACAACAGTGGCGGCGATGGGCGTAATGTTCGGCATCAAACCATTTCATCAGGTGGTAGTGGCTGCTGCAGCAATGGCGGCATACCGTCTAAGATGCGAACTAAAATGGAAGAAGGGAGCCCAGCATACGAGGCTGCCGGAAAACGTTCTGCTGGATCCGATATTCGAGATGCGACAGAACAGAATACCTATTATTCGGGCTTCTGATAGGCGCTTCAAAGTGCATATACCGAGGCCGGAGGAGTGGGAAAAGGAAGGTGGAAACTTAGGAACTCGAGTGCGTGGAGGAGATGTCTGGTATACGGACGGCTCCAAGACGGACACGAGCTCCGGGGCCGGCTTCTTTGGCAGTCGAGAGGGATGAAAGGAGAGCATTTCTCTCGACAGTTATGTCACGGTATTCCAAGCGGAGATTGTGGCTATCTTAAGCTGTGCTCAGACCGTACGAAGTAGGGTAGAAGCGGAAGAGCACATCAGAATTTGTACGGACAGCCAGGCAGCCATCAAGGCGCTGGGGGCTCCGACAATAACGTCGCGGTTGGTTCAGGAGTGCAGAGGCGTTTTGAACGAATTGGCGAGAGAGAAAGAAGTCACCATTACATGGGTGCCTGGTCACTCGGGCATCCTGGGTAATGAATGTGCGGACCAGCTAACAAAAGCGGGTTCAGAGACAACGATGATAGGACCGGGGCCGGCTCTGGGAATCCCCTTTTGTCTAGGAAAGGGGAGGATCAAAGAATGGCTCCGCAGAGAACATCTAAGACACTGGAGAGTGGAATCTGAGTCCAAATGCAGACAGGCTAGAGCTCAAATGGAAGATACTCCTAATAGGGAACTGGCTTGGAGCATAAGGGCTTTGAGTAGGAGGGATGCCAGGACAGCGGTACACATACTGACGGGTCATGGCACCTTAAACTACCACATGTACAAGCTTGGACGTAGCGATACATCCAGGTGCAGGGCATGTGGAGACGACGAGAAAACAAGCCTTCATGTACTCGGAGACTGTCCTGCACATGCAGGGTTAAGACACAGGATGCTGGGCTCAGCACTACTTGGGCCCGAGCAGATCAGGGAGCTGCCGGTGAGGGATCTGATTCTCTTTTGGAGAAAAACGGGTCTCTCATGAGTAAGTTTATGAGGGGAGGCACAATGGACAATAGTCTGGGTGCCGCGGGCGGCGCTTCGAAAGAGGAACGCCCCCCCCCGTTAAAATATATTATTATTATATTTTCTGTCATAATATTATTAAAATTTCTTAACAATTGATATCAATTCATAAATTTTTGAGGTTATGCCAAAAAATATTTGTCAACACTTAATTTAAAAAATTAATACACAATTCATGTAATAGCTACTTTCTATTTAAGTATTTATTTATTTATATATAAAAGAAAGAATATATTGAAGAACTTACTTGGATATTTAATTTGTTATTGTTAAAATTATTCATTATAAGGACACATTGGAAAACACTAGAAAAACATAAAACAGAAATTGATATAAATCGATATTTTAGAATACTCTATGTTAAACTGAGGTTTTTACTATCTTAAAGATAATTCCACTTAAAGATTGGTTTGACACAAGATCTATAGAGAGAAGGTTACCTCAGTAAAACCGGTTGAGGGCGAGGGACGATGAAGTAAGGGGGGAGCTAGAAACAGCTTGATGGCAAGGAGCGATGAAGGAAGGGGGGAGATAGAAACAGCTTGAGGGCGAGAGGCGATGAAGGAAGGGGAGAGCATGATGATCTCATCGACAAACAGTAGCTGTCTGAGTCTGAGATAGCTTCTGTTTGCCGATGAGATCATCATTGCCATGGTGGAAAGAAACAAGGTGAGTTATTCTCGTGGTTGCGCAGTAGTCTAAAGGTAGTGGGGAGCGGACAGCCAATCATAGGGGGCCCATTTCATGAAAATTCAGTATGGCTGATGGCTGATGACATGCTTTATTAACGTATATAAAGTGTATACTGTGTTCCTCTTAAAAAAATATATAGTGTTCGTGCAGAGAGTTTTCTTAAATTTGGAAAAGACCGATGTGACCGTCGTGTAAGTAATAAATGAATATATAATATGAAGATTTGTTTAGAGTTTGGTGTAATATGTAATATTATGTGACTTTATCTTTGTAGACAGTATGCCGACCTGTTGCATTAAAAATTGTAATAGTCGCAGTATTTATTTATTTACAATACTGTTTTGATTTTTTAATCAGCTGTGAACGTTTGAATTTTGCGCGCATAAAATGGGTCCCCTGTGATTGGTTGACAAGCAAGTCCCCCAACTCTTTGCCGCCATTATGCGCAATAACTCACCTTGTTTCTTTCCACCATGATTATTGCCCCTCTTGCCGCTCGCCCTTCTCTGCATTTGCCCCTCTTGCCGCTCGTCCCTCTCTGCATTTGCCCCTCTTGCCGCTCGTCCCTCTTTGCGCATGAGGTAACCTTCTCTCTATAGATCTTGGGTTTGACACAGCTACACGCGCACTCTACATCAGGCCATTTTAACACACTATCTTAAAGACAGCGTGTAGACGGGTCAGCTCGCTATCTAGCGCTCTAGTCATAATCGCGACGTCCGCGCTTGCGCCGACGCTTCCGCGTCACCACACGTCGACCATTTCGCGCCGTCTTACACCGCCGTAATTAATACACATTTATACCGCACATTCAGACAACGCATTAATACACATTTATACTAAACGTTCAAACCACTCATTATACACGCGTATCCACACGGTACGTCTCTCTACACTGTACATATCCAACATCAATTACTCAATAAATTAAGTTATCTTTTGTTACACTCAAACAGCGAGTTTTCTTGACGTGCCCTCAACCGACCGAGCTCCTGATCCCGGCGAACTATTCCGCGCAAATAGTCGCACCGTTTCAAGTTTAAACTAATTACTTTTAAGAACTAAGATTTTGTAAGTAGAAGAAATAAATTTATTTTTTGCGTATATATATTATATGTAATATATTTATATTAATGACAGATAAAGTTTATTAATATTATATTCTTATTATATTAATATATTTCTCTTTTATCTTAATTTCCTTTTCTTATAAATCAGTGGGGAGAAAATGGATTTTTCATTCGATTTTCATATGGCAACAACCTTACCGTTTATTTTATAACAATAAAATACAAAACAATTGTATTTGAAATTTGCATGCTTATTTCAGGCGGCTCATTGTGTTAAAAACAATAATTGGCTAAAAATTGCATTTTCTTTCCAGGTTGGAAATTCCAGCACTGCTCTAAAGTGTATTTTATCAATGTTTAATGCAATGCAGTTTCAAATTCCTGCAGATGTATTATCAATGTCGTATGGTTATATGTAGTATCCATGACGACTATTCTCATTAAGATTGTGTCAATCATGCAGGTCATTTCCACAGAACTATGGTTGTTACAACCATATTGTATGCATAGACGAAAAATAACATAAACATTCTGTTGGGACAACTATAGTTACTTAAGTGATATCCTTAGTGTTTTCTCCGTGAATTAAAGAAATTTGTTGGCTCTTTTGAAAAATGTTCGGCTATTGTTACGGATGGGGCACCAGCAATGACTGGATCCAAAACTGGTCTGAAAGGATTATTTTTTGAAAATAATGTAAAATATTTAATGTTTCATTGCATTATTCATCAAGAAGTCTTGTGTAGCAAAGCGCTTAAATTATCTGATACAATAAAAATTGTAACAAAAATTACAAATATTATTGTGGCGGCATACCGCCACACCGCTGCACCGAAGCGGCATAGTACGCCGCGGCGCTACTACGTGCCGCAGGCCCTCAACCAAGCGCTGAGCCTACAGTCACACCGCCAGGTAGTGCAGGCGGTGTAAGGCTTTCTCGCGATCGAGAATCGATCGACTCACTATAAAAGAGCGTCGACTCGATCTGCTACTTCACTCACTCGCTTCAAGGTGAGCTCTAACCAGAGAGAAGACTGAGAGTGGACATGCCCACATTTTTCGTGTTTCTGTGGGCTAGCGCCTCTATGTGCACAAAACGTGCACATTGAACTACGTAGCCAATGTCCACGATCTTTTGGGTCTCTTCCGTGCTATGTCCACGACTTTTTGGTTCCGATATGTGCTATATCTACAAAGTGTCGGTAATGCATACTTGTAAAACATGATTATGTATATCAATCAGATTTGAAATATAAATACACACGTATTGTAAATACATGTATTGTAGCATTTATTTTTGCATTTACAGTTTATTTAGCAAAAGATCAGTTATTTTTAATAACCTGTGTAATTTGAAAATGTACATTTAAATTATTTTAATAAATTACTTCTATAATTTTGTGTGTGTGTGTGTGTGTGTGTGTGCGTGCGCGTGTGTAAATAAAATGTTGCATTTTTGTCAATATTTAAAAAGATGATAAACTCTTATAGATATTTCATACAGTAATGACCAATAACTTATTTTGAATAGTAAAAGCCAGGATTGGGCGTTTACATGTAAACTATAATAGATGCAAAAATACTCGCATATTAAACACGAATGCAAGCTAAACAGTAAAAACAATCTTTTTATCTATAATTTGAGAAGACTATAGTTATGAACCGTCGCAAGAAAGTGTGCAAATTGTAATCTTGAAATTTAGAATACAATTTACGAAAAATTACGGCATAATGTAAAATGAACAAAGGTGTACATTTTTAATTAAATTTTTAAAGAAATTTATGTTAAATTTTTCTTTAATTTTGTGATTTTTGATAAAAAAATATGAGAAGGAATTAAAGTTTAATAAAATACTATATATGTAGTATTCAGACATCATTTATTAAAATAGGATATTAATATATTATTAAGATTAAATTTTATTAAAATTAGTTATTAATGTTAAATATACTAGGTGCGCAATTAAGTTTCCGGGTTTTTTTTTTATCAATGCAAAATGGAAAATTTCAAGAGAAATACAAAAAACGGTTTATTCAAAGTATCGTCCCTCGCTAGCTACACATTTTTGCCATCTCTCTGGCAATACATGAATACCGCGACGATAAAACGACGCGTCTTTGCATCGAAACCATTTATCCAATCAGTTTTGCACTTCTTCGAAATTGGCCAAGTGTAGCCCAGCTAAGCCATGTGTCCATCGACCGGAACAAGTGATAATTGGAAGGGCCAGGTCTAGTGAATACAGC